TCTAAGCGAATCGTTTTGAAGCTGTTTGGGGTCTATTTTTGTATAATTTTGTAACAAGGAAATGAAGTTTCTACTTATAGACGATCTATAGATGTAAATTCACAAAATTTCACGGAATTTCACGCTGCTATTTTTAGAAGCCGCCGGCAAATATTTTCGTGTTTCTGTGATAAACGCACCCAAAATTCACGATTTTCTCATTAATTTTCATGAAATTTCAAAAAACATCATCTTTTTTTTTGAATTTTCATAAAATTTTGTGAATTTTCGTGAAATTTCGTGAATTTTCAGTAAATTTCGTCAAATTTCGTGAATTTTCGTGAAATTTAACGAATTTTCATGAAATTTTTTGAATTTTCGTGAATATTCTTGAATTTTAGTGAAAATTTGTCAATGTGAATGTTGTATGAAATTTTGTGGAACTTCGTTTGCCCTTTTGCGGCAATTTCGGTCAGTTGCGCGTCCAAGAAATTTCGTCATATTGTTCTTGATCGGCGTCTTCTATTTGCTTGCGGCAGGCAGAATCTCTTGCAAAATCCATATTCTTGATGTTGGTGGTTCTTGCTTTGAAGTGCTTTTGCTTTGAGCGAGAAAACTATTTCAAAACATTGTTTCAGAGACTTGGCTCTTTGCGATGCCACGAAAGGATGTGGGGCCCAAGCTTTCATTAAGACTGCACGCGGGCGCCTATACGCCTGTCCGGTTGACATATCTTGCACCATTGATGGTTTTTGCCCACCGCATGGATAAAGCCGCTTTGCCAAAAACAGTTGAAGAAGCATTGCCTGCTCCTTGTTGCCGATTTTGCTTATTGCCTTTGGCCTACCCACCATGTTAGCCCAACCAAAGATGACGTTGGCCGCCGGAGTCAGGCAAGTTTTAACGAAGCTGGCAAGCTTCAACACTCCCATGAGTTGGCGCTCGGGGCAAAACAAAAAATAAGGATGGATAGGTCGCAAAGCGTGTGAATGGCTGTTAAAACATCCATGGGGCCAGGAACCAAGTAGTCAGAGTTAGTGAAAAGACCGGCGCGAGCAAGGAAATCGTGGGGAATGGAGTGGCCTGATCTCGCATGGCTTGGAAAAGGACGTATAGACGATCTATATAAGTCCTTTGGGCAACGGTGAGCTATACATCCGCTTGACCTGTGCTGGGACGGTATATAGCGTTTCCGATTCCTGATTCGATTCGGAACATTCCTGAGATCCTCGGATCCTCTCCTGGAACCCGCCTTCTGAGGCGGAGGTCAAAGCTTTTGTCAGTAGAGCCATGGAGCAGCCGCCCCCTGCCGAAGCCTCCGGACTGGAAAAGAACTTGCTGCGCAGAGCCTTCACTGATGAGTTCAGCAAGAGGCCGAGAAGATCGCCAACATCAAGATCTTATGACATTAGGCGAGAAGGGAGCTGTCCCAGGCGGAGCAGATCATACAGATCATTTCTGCCCTCTGCATATGTACGACGATGCGCAAATTGACTGGATGGCATGCAGTCGATCTGAGCAGACGACATACAGTCAGCAAGTCTGTGCGCCTCCAGGTTTGTTTTGTTCGGGGGCGAGTCAGAAGTCTGGCGCTTGAAGGCCTCAGGAACTTGGCAGCTCGAGTTGAGGCCCCTCTACTTTGTGGGGGAGTAGCGGGGGGATGGGACCGCCACCACGGGGTGGCGCGTTAGCAGTTGCAACGCATGACCGCAGCTGCTTGGTCGCCAAAACCCTGCGCCGGGGTCGCTGCGAGGCCACCGCCAATGGCATCCGCAATGAGTAATCCGGTGGCCTTCTGCAAAACCGCTTCGCAGTTTAGCGTGGGCGAGTCTGACTTCTTGGTCTTAAAGTCCATTGCAAAAAAACCTCAGAAGCCTTTGCTCTGAGGATCCCATCCAAGGAGGACCTCGAGGAGTTCTTGAAGTCCACCTTGTGCCCGTCAGCCGCCTGTGAGAGCGAGGATGGGACGCTCCTGACCTTTCCACGCGTGCCTCCGGTGCCATGGCAATCCTTTTGAGGAGGCCGCTGCGTTGAGGAAGTTGTGGCTCGTGGCGAAGGAGCAGCGCAAGAACGAGTTGGAGAGATTGGCCGCCGGGGATGAGACCGCCAAAGGCAGAGTCAACGTCCCAGGGGCGCTCGCCATGGAAACGGCCGCGATAAAAGAGGGGAGAGTTCGTTGCGCCCTCCTCAGATTCAGAGTGGCCGAGCCTACGCGCCTTGACTCAAGCTACCATGCGAGGGGGGCCACGTTTGAGCACCTGTCTTGGCGTTGGGAAGTTCATTTGGAAGAGGAGTTGTGCCTCTCACGAGCAGGAAAGGTCCCGAAGAATAAGGGCGAGTTAGTGTTTGGCAAGGACCAGACACTCACCATCAAGACGTGGCCTCCGCCGGCCTCCGCTCCTGACACATACGGTGAAAAGCCACCGATTTGGAAATCTTCCGAAAATACATGGGAGTCCGAGGCAAAACTTTTGCCTACATCGAAGTCGCCAACTACAAGACATATATCGTGCTCTTGCCGACAAATACATCGCAAAGCTCACCGGCACTGTTCCTCAAGGCATGCAGCCTCCGACACTTCAGGAAGTGCGCCGATTTGATCGACGAACACTCCATGAAGAGCTCCTTATAAGGTGGCCGGCTTTCGAGGAGCACAGGCGATCATGAAGAGCTGCCCATATGGAGGTTACTAGACCCCGTGATATCTTCCTTGCCAGGCATCGAGCGGGAGAGGGACTCGAGTCAAGCGCAAAGCAGTCGAGATGGACAGCAACCAGGACAGCGCCGAGAAGGATAGTGCAGCCAAGAAGGACAAGGTCCTCAAGACCTGCGTAGCGCGCAAACAGAAGCACGATCCACTATATGTCCCTTGCCCCCGGACTTCAGGAAGCTTCAGAGAGAGCGAGAAAAGAAGAAACGCGCCGAAAGAAAGGCAGAGCAAGAGAAGGAGAGGAAAGCCGATCGAGACCGTGGGCGACAGGGTGACCAGCATGACGGTGGCAGGAACCGCGGAGACGGCCACTCCAAGAACCAGGGACAAGCGGATCTTCCAGGGAAAAGGCCCTCGCCCAGTGAGTCCGCCACGTTGTCGATTGAGGTCGAAGAGTTTCACACGCCCGTTAATTCATTTTCTTTTGCGCCCGAACCTTTTCTGGTAATCCTAGAGCCCTGGGACCTCTTGAGGGGATTGTGTATGTTTAAAATGAGGGATCGACTGGACGGTGAGACAAGTCTGGCAAACTTATCACATTACACGCCAAACTGTGCCACTTTCTCCAGAGCACGTGAAATCTCCATTCCTGGAGTGAAGTCCCACCGCATCCATTGAGGTCAGAGGAACACCCAACTGGTATCCCATCCGAACTAACTCGGATGAGTAGCAAAGCTATAAGCTATACGTTTAGAGCAAGACACCTACATGGCCGACCTTTCAGCCGAGAAGGGTATGGAATGCGTTTAAGCCAAGCTGGAAGCAGCTCCTCGGCTTGGAAGGAGGGGTGAGGGTTTTCGAGTATACTACATGTATGTTCGAAGGTAGTAGGCGTTGGAATATCAAGTTCTCATTTCAAACCGTGACTTCTCGGCGCTAGCAAGAGTGTGTGGTGGGGACCATCTATGCGAGCGCACAGGTCTCCCTCACTTGAATGGCGACCAGCTGTCACTTCGGGTGAGGTGGTGCAGTTCACGACCGGTGATGAGAGAGAGTACTCGAGTGGGTTTTGCGCCGCTTATGCCAGCTGTACAAAATGCTTCACGATGAACAAGCAGGCCTTCCTCGAGGTGTTCTCCGGTCCAAACGCCCCATTGAGTCAGGCAGTGGTAGTGGCCTGGAGAAGTCATGTCCGGGCGGTCGTGTATCTTCCTCCAAGGGAGTGCGTAACGAGTTGCAAACCTTAGCACAGGTCGTAGGAACGCCAGCGCCCTAAAACCTCCTGAGAACTCGAGAGCTGGGCGCTCCAGATTGTCTCAGCTGGTACCATGGCTGGCCCCTTCTCCGTCCAGACCTTGGAAGTTAGGCACGGTCGCTTTTTCAACATCATTCCGAGTTTCGGCCTGCGTCAGGGCTTCAAGGAGGACGGCGCCCCAAAATACAGGCGCATTGATGATCATAGCGCAGGCGTGACTAATGCAGCCGCCGCCAGAACACAGAGGATTTCTGAACGATGGCAGATTACGTGGCTGTGATGATAAGGGCCTGTACTCGGCATTTGGGTCATAAAGTTCTGATTGCAACAGAAATTTCGGACCTTAGCCGCCCGTGTTGAGCCCAAGTCCAACCTGGCCGACGGCCCGAGTAGACTTGAGTTCGCCCTCACGCGTCACATGGGAGCTTCTCCATCGGTAGTGAAGACATCCGTACATACGGCTTGGTCCAATTTTTAACTTTTCTTTTTGATGGGGCCACACTGCGGCCGCTCCCGCAGTCTCGCTGGATAGTCCATAGGGATACCAAGGAAGGCCTACCAGGAGAGCTATGGGAATCCCTTCCTCGGTCTCCCTGCGCTTGAGTGTCTTCCGGAGAAAACGGACCAGCCACGTACGGCTGAGATCCGTTTCCCGGTAGATGCAAGAGGAGCTTGGTCCCATTGGAGAAAAACAAGCGGCAGCATGCGGCAGCTTGATTCCTTTATGGAGCGTTCAAGGTATAAGAATATCCTCAACCACGCCCCTTCACCGATAAAGCATTGTGGGCTATTTCTTGATATTGAATATATTGAATGGATATGCTTGATTGCACTGACACCGACTGGCATTGGATGATTGCTTTTCGGGACCAAGTCCACCGACTCATGTCACCGACAGGAGGCTGTTCTCAGAGGAATTGATGCTGAAGACTGGCCACGGATTCGTCAGGCCTGAAAGAAGGTCAAGGCGTTTAAGAAAGCACTACCAGTGACAAACGGAACATATTTGCATGGTGGTTTCGAGCAGGGGGCAGTGCGAGGCTGCAAGACAAGAGTGAAGTTTTGTGCAGGTGGTGGCGGAGGTCCATGACGTGAACGGCAGACTCGAACGGATCAGGACGTTGCTGCAGCTTAACTGAAGCCATCCAAAGTTGAAACACACAATGCTTCAGGTGTGTCTAAACAGTAAAACGGAAACATCATTTTTGAAGAGGTGAAATGGTCGTACCCACAACTACAAAAAACGTTTATGACTCCTCGAGGTTTGTAAGTTCTTTGATTGTTTAGTTTTCATCAAAAAAGAAAGCACTCTTGTTGAAAGTGGTTTTACACAAGCATTCGTGTTGGTGGTAGGGGTAGTGGAGTCCAAGACACCAGAGATTCAAGATTGTCTCCAGATGTGTTGTTCCTGCACAACTGGCATATTTAATCTGCCTGCCCTGCAGCTGCTTCACTTCAAACGAGGGCAAGGAGGACATGCATGGCCCAGGTGAGTGTGTTCCAAAAGCCAAGGGGGCAGCACATTCTACAGTTTTCTACCTTGAGATGCATCAAGATGCGCATTTCGCCGCGATGGTATGCGGTTCCTGTGAACTTGGTGTTGCTCATCATTTTGCTATATTTGCTGGCTTTTTCACTCAAGCAAGCACGGGTTGTCCCTGATATCAACGAAGGTGCCTTCGTTGCAGCTGCGATAAGGCGCGTTCATTTTTTTTGGAGCGTTATTAGTTCTCAGGTATTACGATATCAAGGAATTCAGACATCAGTAAAGCCTGCATTTTGCAGTGTCTCACTGTTCATGTTTGATCCCATGTTACGAAGATTCCCTGAGGTATGCCTTTCTGATTGCTTTGCCATTCCTGCTATTCTCAGCTGTGTTCTCGATAAGAACTGTTCAGCGCTTGCCGGGTGATGAGGCTGCAAGGCTGATTTTTCGGCATCTTGGTTTCATGCATGATTGTTTGCAGCTGTTGTTTTTGGTGTCGGCAAGGTTCTGCATGTTGGGTAAAAGATAATTTACAAAACCATAGTGAGACTTGGCGGGTTGGTGTATGTATGACCCAGCAATAGTGAGGCTTCTCAGGAAGAAACACGTTGACCTCAAGGCTTCTTCTCCTTCCCATCTTATTGCCATCAACTTTCCCAGGTATTGGAAAGATGCTCTCCCGCAGTCCAAGGACGACCTTTCAGAGGCAATAGGTTCGACAAAGGGTGTTTGTCACACGAAGACGCCCAAGATGTGCCTCCACATTGTAGATGTAGAAGCCTCTTAGCCTGCTAGCAGTTCAATTGGATTTGGTGCTTGGTGCAGCTTGGTGCAGGACTTGCCAGAGAAGTTTCGAGGTGTCTTTTGGATGAGCACTGATCCCTCACCTGAACTGTGCACCAACTTTGAAGCTGCGTCCTTCGATGCTGCTTCACGGATGCTGTGGCTAGAAGGATGCCTTGTTTTAGATCGAAGAGAGATGTGCGGATTCCCCCAGTCTTGTTCGAAAGCCTTCTAATAATAGGCCGTAGGTCTGGATTGTTATGCTTCAGGAGGAAGAAAGTTTACTAACACCTTCACTGGAGAATGTCATTGACATCACTTCTTTTTCCCAATCGAATTCCGGCGGATTAGTTTCCACCCCAAACTAAATTGTAATACTATAAGTTTGCTTCGGGGTGCAAACTAATCCGCCAGCATTCCACTGTGATCCCCTGTAGGATTCTAAGGGGAACGGGTTGTAGGCTATGTACTCACAAGCTTGTTACCAACTTTTGTCCTGGCTGTGTATATATATATATATATCCTCCAAATCTAAAGCCACTTGCTTCAACAAGGTCTCGGGTGCATTTCTTAAGGCTGACATTTGGCCACTTTATACAGAGAATCGAAGAAAACCTCAAAGAAGAGTCAACTGTTCTTGGCTCGAGAGAAGCCCAGGACTATGAAGCTTTTCCCGGGGGCACCATATACCTGGGTGTGGTGCGATAGCTACATGGGGTGGGCATTCTACTTGTTCTTCACCTTCATCAATCCCATTTATACGTTGCAAGTGCGCTGGGATGAGGCATACCGCAAAGCATACCTGCCCAGCATTTTGTTTGGATGTTTCAACGTCGATTGGATGACCTGCTCCGCTATGTACATAGAACAGCTGGATGATGAAGGAAACGAGTGGGCAAGGACAAGCTATGTCTTTGGACAAACATTCAAGCACGGCTCCTACACGTTGAAGAAGGCAGACCACAAAGAATTTGCACATTGTGCCATGAACATCACATGTGTTGTTTGGACTATTCTAGCAATTCACTGGCATTTCACTTGAATGTGCTTGAGCTTGTGGAAGACCAAAAACAGGTGATTGACAAAGACGGCGGTGAGCTGCCTGCCTTCGATGACATGGTTCTGTCTCTCAAGGACTGCAGATCAGTTGATGTTGCAGTATCCACCAGGTGTTTCGTACAGTGGATGCCAAGCCTTTGGATGGAAGGCATGTGAGATCGGTGTTCTGTTTTCGAAGGTCTAGCAGGTCCAGATCGGTTTCCACTCTTTCACGCCACAATTCCGACTTCCACACGAGCCCATCAGGAAAAGAGGGAAGTCCAAGGCTACATCAAACCGTGGGGTCAATTGGTGCGCGGCAACGTGTTTCACTCCTGAACCCTTTGGGACGCCAGGAATGAAAAAAGGCGACACAGAATTCATGCCATGTCCTGGGACAGGTGGGTTTCAAGAGAGAGCAGCCAGTAGTACGTAAGAGTGCAGTTGCATGTACGTAAGTTACATAAAACTGGCAGGGGTTATTCGTTCCAACATGTGTTCCCACGTTGATTGGAGTCTGCAGGGTTTAAGGACTCAATCAGTCCCAAGCACAGCTTGGGGAGCTCAACAACAGGTCTAAGGGGGTGCGTTTGGAGGCATGTTGATGCCACAATCTCATCATTCTGATCCTGTTTCGTTCTTGGCTTTGGCCCCAAGGCAAGATGTTGGCTTCAGCGTGGAGGTTCAGCAACAGCTTCCCAGCGAGGAAGAAGGCTTGGGGGGTGAGTCTTGAGACTCTCATTTTTAGGCTTCCCAAAGCAGGTGTTGTTTGCTTCATTCCCTAACAAAGCACAAAGTCACTTTGAAGTCAAGGCGAGTGGCATCAGAATCAAATCGTGCTTCAACTGATAGATATGCTGCAGTTTGGTGCGTAAAGATTGATCCAAGACTTTCCAAGAGTGTTTCTGAAAGGCTTCTTTGCATTCGTGCCAGAGACCCTGCAGCTCTTCCACTTGCGCGCTGCACGTCGGGCCAGCGTCAAGCGAGGCCAGGAGACGGTTGCCCTGCAAGAGTATTAATAGTGTCCTTGCTCCTAGTAGGGATGCCAGGGGCCCCCTAGTAGCTTCTTGTTCCTAGTAGCGATGCCCTTTGCTCCTAGTAGCGTCCTCTTGCTCCTATTTGAAGAAGTTGTGATGCTTTCGGAACAAGTTTCTTGAAGGTATCGTCAAATGTTTTACTGTATGCATTTTGGAATGATCTCAAATGCCGTGGGGCTCATGGCACCTCGGACGTTGACAATCTTTGGACAGACAAGCTACAGACAAGGGCAGAGGGCTGGATGTGAGTTTGCAAGGCTGCTGTGACTCTGAGCACGCAAGAGGTGCAGAGGAGCATAGAGAAAAAGTAACTGGAGTGCCGAGTGCCTGCAAAATATCCCAGTTTCTACATGAGCATCCGACAAAACTTCCGTACATGTACTTAGCCATGAGCGCCTTAAATCTTGAATTGATCAAAAACCCTGCAACTGACCCTTTCTTGATTGTAAGTAGCTCATCGCTTGCATTCCAAAACAGTGGAAACCGATGGGGGCCGAAACAGTGGAAATATGTTGGGAATTGGGGACGAAGAAGTTTTGTCCGCCACTGACCTGTTCTTCTAAAAATGTCGGCATACACGTCCATGCTGGAAGCGCAAGTTGTTGTTCATCCGATCATTTTAACCCATTTGCCCCGCATGTCACATGGCTGCGTGTGCGGCAAGTATGACTCTCTTGTACTTTCTGTTTCGCAACTCTCCCATCAGATCGGCTCACAAAACCCTTCATCGTCGGGCCATTTTGAGTAAAGAACCTGCACTTGCATTGTTCAAAATTTATGGTAAATAATTCAGCTCGAAATACTGGTGATCCAAGTTGCCCCCAAATTGCTTTGCTCATCTCTACTTGTTTGCTGAGTTGTCAGATGTTTTGAACATTACATGGTCGCCATGCTTTTGCTGGATGCCCCAAGGCGTCTTTGCCTGAGGGAGAGCCTCTCCGGCAGGTTGGGGCACGGGTTGGACTCATCAGTTTGTTGTCGGGAGGAGCGCAACAAGTTATTAAGCTGCATTTGCGTCACAATCTGCATTTGGTCACGAATGAGTTCGCTCTGAACGGAAGAGGAAAGAGTTGAGCGGTGGAATGTTTGAATCAGCAATCAGCTTTTCCTCCATAAATTGGTGCAGGCCACAGCCTTAGGGATCTCACGGCAGTTCTTCTTGCATACGCAAGGGAACCAAGGAGCACAGAAAAGGTGACTGGATGCCTCGGGTTGTTGGTCACAGCAGAGGCTGCCATGTTGCTCTTGCAGAACTCCTGGTTCTATGTGGTTGAAGACACTCTCTTGAAACATGCAATTACTTGTACAGCTACATGGAGTTTGATTGACCGTAGTCAACCTTGGGGGTGTCAAACACTAGGAACTTGGGTTGGAGGCCATCGCTGGTAGGCTGGAGGCCATGGCTAGTAGGTTGGAGGAAAAATCCAGGTCGCAGCTTTCGGGAACTGAGGCCCTGTGGGTCCCTGGGAGAGCAGTCCGATCGTCTCTTTGAGACCTTTGAGACCAGGCACTGAAAAGTACAGTTCCCGAAAAGTTCTGTCGACAGAAATGGCATCGATTTTGGAATTTCACCTAAATTACTTGTAAAAGTCTGTTCATGTCTTTTTGTTCTGGCCTCCTTGTCAGGTACTGGCGCCCCTTGGGCAGTGGTTTGGAAGGGCTTTTAGTTGTTGCCACGTCGCAGCCCCACTTGCAAGAGGTTCCCAACGTTATTTCAGACGGGCACTCTTGTAAGGACCTACTACAACTTCCTGCGCTTGAGGCGATTCTTGCGGGAGGACGACTTGGGCTCCAAACAAGAACCGTTGCTGTTTGTGCAGAAACATGATGAAAGACGACAAATAGTATTAGTCGTTCATTGCTTCATTCAGATGCTTGAGCTGCAAAAAGGTACCCACAAGGTGGTTTGTTTCAAGCATTGCAACTGTCAAAGCAAGGAAGCAGCCAGCTTCAGCTCAATCTTTGAGTACTCGACACCCAAGGCCTTTGGTTTTAAGGTATCAAAGAAGAAGGGTGTTGAGTCATTGAGCTTTTTGAGTTGGAGAAGTTCTTGCCTTTGTAGCAGCTGGAGACCACACGTGACACCGCTTCGACTGATGTCTTGAGGCTGTGGGACATGCTCGCCAACACTTCTTCCAGAACGAGCGCCGGCTCCTCCTGGTGACTGAGCATCTCGGCAACCACAAGTCAAACGCAGTTCTCAGACGTCTCAGACACAAAAGCTCAGAACTAGGAGTTTGAGGTAGTTCTTCTGGCATTTGCGGTTTAGAGTTCAATTTTGGGATGTGCCCGACACCACCAAGGCGATTCCTTTGGTACCGCCGCTTTCGCTTGAAAGGCTTGCACTGTTTGCCCAGAATCTGTGTGAGACAGCAGATTTCGAGGAGCCAACTACGTGCTATTCTATGGAGTTCCGCAGACGGCAGAGATATACGAGGAGGCACCAAATCAAGCCAACTCCGGTAAGAGTGATTTGTCAAGCGCCAGGCTTTGCACGTTGTTGGTGACAGAAGATGAGCATAAAATATTTGATGTTGGTGTTGGTTGATTGTTTCCTTGTTCTTTATTCTGTAGACCTTTAGAATCCTTTAGAGCTTCTTGTTACTACTAGTAAGGCACTTGTTACTAGTAGCGGTGCACTTGTTTCTACTAGCTTCGTGTTACTAGTAGTAAGGCCCTTGCTCCTAGTTACAATCCTTTTTCTCATTTGTTCGCGGTTTGCAGGTCCTAGGGGCGGTCCGCGTCCCTTCCCAATGCAACTCGATGTGCCTCTTTACGCGCCACGATGCGCAGCGCTCTCAGCATTCACATCAGAACCTGGCGGCTGTGCAGCCTGCATTTGGCTTAGGATACAAAGTGATTATTTACAATGAGTTCTTGTTACTAATAGCTTCTTGTTACTGGTAGTACGGCCAGGAGCCCGTAGTGCTCCTAGTGCCAGGAGCCCCCAGTTGCATCCTTGCTCCTAGTAGCGATGCCAGGAGCCCCCGTAGTAGCGTCCTTGTTCCTAGTAACGATGCCAGAAACCCCTAGTAGCGTCCTTGCTCCTAGTAGCGATGCCAGGAGCCCCTAGTAGCGTCCTTGCTCCTAGTAGCGATGCCAGGAGCCCCTAGTAGCGTCCTTGCTCCTAGTAGCGATGCCAGGAGCCCCTAGTAGCATCCTTGCTCCTAGTAACGATGCCAGAAGCCCCTAGTTGCGTCCTCACTCCAAGTAGCGATGCCAGGAGCCCCTAGTAGCGTCCTTGCTTCTAGTAGCGATGCCAAGAGACCCTAGCAGCGTCCTTGCTCCTAGTAGCGATGCCCGGAGCCCCTAGTAGCATCCTTGCTCCTAGTAGCGAGGCCAGGAGCCCCTAGATGCGTCCTTGCTCCTAGTAGCGATGCCAGGAGCCCCCAGTTGCGTCCTTGCTCCTGGTAGCGATGCCAGAGGCGTTAGGCTCAAGCCTACAAGCGGCGCGCCCGTTGCCACCCGTGAGGGTGGTGCAGGTTGAGCCATGGCAGCCTTTCGAGAGGCCAATGTATACATCCGACATCTCTTTCGACATGATGCCACCTGGCTTTCCGCTGCAAAGGAAGAGATCCAAGTAACGAAGGTGCTCTTACGTCAGCCTCAATATGCTGTGATCGAGTGTTATCGGGGGGATAGCACATCTTGCATCATGAAGGTGACGAATGAAGTTTTGGCACACATGAGTACTTGGGAGTCTCGCAAGCTCTTTACATGGAAGCTGTGTGGGAGAGACCAATTTGGCCTGGTCCTGCCGAATAAGGAGGATGACGTGCCTGACCTATTTCTTCTTCATGAGGAGCCACAGTTGCCACCAGGGTGCTCAGACCCTACATATCGCCCTCTGCCCGATCATTTTGAGCCATGGGCCCAGTATTTCGCTAGCTACGAGCAGAATGCTGGATATGGACGAATCTTAGATGATGGAGCACTCGGGGAACCATGGTGTGAACATTTCACAGTTCAAAACAACATTGCATGGAGAGAATCTGCCACGACTACAACGAGTCCAGTCGGCTCTGTGACAGTTGATTCTGTTGATCGATCACAGCAATGGTACTGTGTCAATCAGATGCCTCAGGACTCAGCCATGACGTCTTCACCGACGTGTACGGTTGATGATGCATATGAGTGTATGTTCTGTGAACCTTGGGCAGTTGGGTATACACCATACACAGCTCGTAGCATCTCTATTCAAGCCGCTGTGGATGATCAATTTCATGAACCGTGGAGTGCTCACCTCGTCCCAGCGGAGACACGTCTCCGACCAACGCAAGGATTCAACTCGACACCTGTGTCTGAGGAGTCCAGTTATTC